TTCGATGGATGCAGTCATCAACTTCAGACCCCTCGCCCAGCGACACACCTTGACGGGGGGGGAGCCGCGTTCGTGCCACATGGCCGTGCGGTGACCACGCTTCAGTTTTGAACGTTCGCGTGGACCGTGCGTGCTCGTCACCCTCGCGGGTAATGTGTGGTCCGTGATTGGACGGTGCCCTCTGTACGCGGTCCCCGATCTAGGGATCTGGGGAGGACAGACCCTTTATAATGAGCCCCCACGGCTCATTCGGTGTGCTTTTTCGAGTGGAGAGCTCGCCATGTACGAAGAACGCCACTATATATCTAAACTTTCTTATTGACCTCTCTCTAATGTAAATAAACGTCTGTTCTCTGTTTTCCCATATAAGCATTGCTTCTCGCTATAAGGGACGAGTCCGATGGGAGCCAGCTACCAACGACGAGACCCACAGGACTCAGGTCCCAACAACTGGATGGCAGCGGTGGGATCGAGCTCATCGACCAGGAGGCAATGCTGAGACCTGCTGTCTGGAGGACCTAGAGTCGGACAAAACTGCTTCGTGGCATCACTGACAACACTGGAAGGAACGCGTCCGAATTCATGACTGCATAGGGTGAGTGCACTGCTTTTCTTTGCTGAGATATCACCAGGCTTTGCGTAGGATTGTAAACAAAGCAGTGATTTGGTAACGGTGGACGGAAGTATTGATAGTACGTCAAAGTTGTTTAGTTAAAAGAGTTAGCAGCACCAAGGACCGCCATGAATTTGAAGGGACTAAAAAAGCCAGAGTTGTTAGAGTTGGCCCGAGAGCTGGGCCAGGTAATTGCCGAGACGAAAAGAAAGCAGGAGATCATTGACGCCATCGAGAAGATCGGGGCAGATGACGAGGAGCTGAGCGAATGCTTGGAGGCTATTACGCAAAGGAAAGAGGAGCAGAGGCTCCGTGAGGAAAAAGAGGAGCAGAGGCTCCGTGAGGAAAAAGAGGAACAGAGACGTCGTGAGGAAAAAGAGGAACAGAGACGTCATGAGGAAAAAGAGGAAAGGGAAAGAGAACGTATCGATCGTATGGAAATGAAACGCCTAGAAATTGAACTAGCAAAGGCTCAATCAATGAACGGAGCTAGCGCAGTGGCACGAGAAAGAGAGCGCCGAATGACAGATTTGATGCCATCCTACGCGGTAGGAGGGGACATGGGTCTTTTTCTGGTGCACTTTGAGCGCACGTGCGAGAGGGAAAATTTTGCTAAAAACACGTGGCCCCAGCGCTTGCTTACGCTGCTGCCGTGTGAAGTAGCTGACATTATAGCCCGTATGGGTAAAGAAGACGCAGACGACTATGACAGAGTCAAAGCGAGTCTGCTCAAAAAGTACAGACTGTCAGCGGAGGCGTTCAGGCGAAAATTTCGTGAGATCGAGAAAGCCAAAGACGAGTCATACCCAGAGTTTGCGTACACCTTAAAGGTAAATCTGGAGGAATGGCTTAGAGAGGAGGGTGCGCTTGGCGACGCGGAAAAGACTCTGCAGTGTTTTGCGTTGGAACAATTCTTTCGGCGTCTACCTGAAAACATTAGGTACTGGGTTCAGGATAGACAAGGAGTAGATACTATCACGAGAGCGGCAGAGCTCGCAGAGGAGTACGTAAATCGCCGTGCCCTCGAAGGCGAGGATGTCCCTAGGAGGGAGATTAGTAAATATCGGGCCGACAAGCCTCCGCGATGGACAAAGTCGGGTCGGTATATGCCAAAGGAGGGTTTAGGACTCCAAAGGAAGCGGTGATGAGAAAACAAGAGAAAGGAAGAAGCACCCGAGAAAAGGGCGGAAGGGCAACAGAAAAAGGCGTTCGAGGCCAAGAAGCCGATAGTTTGCTATAACTGCCAACAGACGGGGCATATTTCTTTGGGTTGTAAGAACCCGAAAGTTGTGTTAATGTCACTCTGTAGTAATGACGAAAACATGACATTGCTAGAACCATACATCCGAGACCTAGTCGTGAACGGCCAACCGTGCCGCGTGCTCCGCGATTCGGCCGCCACTATGGATGTAGTGCACCCGTCCTATGTCGAGGAGAGTCAGTTTACAGGAGAATGCGCATGGATAAGACAAGCAGTAGAGACAAACAGTGCATGTCTCCCAGTAGCAAGAGTCCGCATCGAAGGCCCTTTCGGTGTTCTAGACACTGAAGCTGCCGTTTCGGCACATCTCCCAGTGCAATACCCGTATTTGTTCTCAAATAAATCAGAGTACTTGCTGCGACAAAAAGGAATTGGGTTCAGTGAGGGTATCGTACAGGCCTTAACTCGATCCAAAGCAAGGGAGCTCGCCGCTCAGACAGTTTATAAAGATCCGGTGGCAGACGAAACAGCTTCAGCGGCAGAGCCTTCTTTACCTGGCACGAAACTGGACCACCCTATAATGGAGCCTCAAAACACAATATCTAAAGAAAGATGTAAGAAACCGGATGAATCCGAGGCATCTCGAGAAGTAGAATGCACTATAAAGCTGTTAAATGTAAGTCCTACAGAACTGATAGTGGAACAGGAAAATGACTCCACTCTCCGTAACCTAACGCCAGACGCGAAGGAAGGGGTGGCTAAGCAAAACATTCAGTTCACCAAGAAGGGGGGCGTCTTGTACAGAAAGTACACGAGTCGAAAAGGAGTTCGGTTTAATCAGCTAGTCGTACCGTATCCTTTCCGCAAGGAACTGCTGCACCTGGTCCACGGAGGTTTGTGGTCAGGGCATCTCGGCATCAAAAAAACAAAAGAATGTTTGTTACGGGAGTTTTACTGGCCCGGCTGCTTTCGGGAGGTGGAGGCATTTGTAAGAAGCTGCGACACGTGCCAACGCGTTGGCAAGCCAGGGGATAAGGCTAAAGCACCTATGAAGCTGGTCCCCATTATCACAGAACCGTTTCGCAGGCTAGTTATAGACACAGTGGGTCCACTTCCTGTAACGCAGTCCGGGTACCGGCACATACTCACAGTGCTCTGCCCGGCCACGAAATTCCCGGAAGCAGTACCGTTAAAGGAGCTCAGCTCGGAAGAGGTAGTTAAAGCGCTTTTATCTATCTTTGCACGTGTAGGCTTCCCTGCAGAAATTCAGTCCGACCAGGGATCTGTTTTTACAAGTGCACTAACCTCGACATTTCTAGAAAAGTGTGGTGTTAAAATCATCCACAGTTCAGTGTACCACCCTCAGTCAAATGCTGTAGAAAAGGTACATTCAGTCATGAAACGGCTGCTACGCGCCCTTTGTTATGAGCAAAAAGAGGATTGGGAGGCTTGCTTGCCCGCAGCTATGTTCGCGCTTCGGGTCGCTCCTCACGAATCAACAGGGTTTTCGCCTGCGGAGCTAGTTTACGGACGTGCTCTTCGCTCCCCACTTCGCATTGTTCGAGAATCTTGGGAGGGCCGGGCGGACGACCCTTCGGTAGTAGCATACGTACTTGAGCTGTTGGACCGACTTCACGCAGCTCAAGAACTAGCGGAGCAGGAAATGCGCAGAGCTCAAAACAACGCTAAGCGCTATTATGACAAGACAGCCCGGACGCGAAGCTTTCGAGTGGGGGAAAAAGTGATGATACTGAAACCCTCACTGAAGAATAAACTTCAGGTCCAGTGGGAGGGACCTGTTGAGGTAGTTCAGAAATTGTCAGACACAAATTACTTGGTTACTGGACTGGGAAGGCGTAAAACGCAACAGGTGTACCACACTAATCTGCTCAAACCGTACCAGCAGAGGCATGCCGTTGTAAACATGTCGCTCAATCAACCGGAAGAAATGCCTATTGATTTCCCGGAGTTAACAACAGAAAACAAAGACATTGGCGAGACTATTAGTAACCTGGTAGAACAGGCGGAGTTGGAGCCAGATCAGAAAGCGGAACTGAAGGAACTATTGTTTGACTTTAAAGAAACATTTTCAGACACACCTGGCAGAACCAAAGCCCTAGTTCATGATATTGAGCTGACATCTTCGGAACCAATTCGTTCTAAAGCTTACCGCGTTTCCCCGAGGCAACGGGAAATAATGGCCGCGGAGATAAACCGAATGCTCGAGCTAGGAGTGATCGAGCCAGGAGAGAGTGATTACACCTCGCCTCTGATCTTGGTTGAGGTCCCAGGGAAAGAGCCGCGACCGTGTATTGACTATCGGAGGCTCAACTCGATTACAAAGGACCAAACTTATCCAATTCCGCATATTGAGGAAAGACTTGAGCAAGTCAGCAGTGCCAATTTCATCTCGACTTTGGATTTAGTCAGGGGATACTGGCAGGTGCCTCTAACTGAAAGGGCTAGTAGGCTTGCGGCGTTTATTTCCCCGATGGGAACATTTCGGCCGAAGGTCCTTAGTTTTGGATTAAAGAATGCCCCTTATTGCTTTTCTGGCCTAATGGACAAAGTGTTACAGGGTATGGAGGACTTTGCCCTCCCGTACCTAGATGATATTGCTATTTTTTCTTCTTCCTGGATAGACCACATGAAACACTTGCGAGCTGTGCTATGTCGTCTGCGTGAGGCCGGCTTAACAGTGAAGGTTGCGAAATGCCAATTGGGGCGCGCTGAGGTAGCTTATCTAGGGCATGTAATAGGCCAAGGCTACCGCCGGCCGTCAGAAGTAAAGCTGGCCGCAATAGACAACTTTCCCCAACCACGAACCAAGAAAGACATTCGGTCGTTTCTTGGATTGGCCGGTTATTATCAAAGGTATATCCCGCGTTACTCTGACATTGCAAGTTCCTTGACAGACGCTCTTAGAAAGACTGAACCCCAGACCGTAAAATGGGATGGGGCCAAGGAACATGCATTTTCTACGCTAAAGAAGGCACTAAAAAGTCAGCCAGTGTTGAGCGCGCCTGACTACTCTAAGCCGTTCATTCTTCAGTGTGACGCCAGCGACCGGGGTATGGGTGTCGTGCTTTGTCAGAGGGGAGAGAACGACCAGGAACACCCTGTACTGTATGCCAGTAGAAAGCTTTCTGTTCGTGAGGAAGCATACAGTGCCTCAGAAAAGGAATGTGCCTGCGTTGTTTGGGCTGTGCAGAAGCTAGCTTGTTACATCGCCGGTTCTAGGTTCACAATAGAGACTGACCACTGTCCCCTCACATGGCTACAGTCCATGTCATCGAAAAACGGCCGTCTTTTGCGCTGGAGCTTAGCTCTTCAACAATACACCTTTGATATCCATTACAAGAAGGGTAAACTCAACAGCAACGCAGATGGTCTGAGTCGTTGTCCCTAGTACCCCGAGGGCTTCAAAACGATTTTCTGCTTTCTATCCTCGATTTGAGGCCCACTAGTTTCTGTATTTATCCAATCATGTGTCAAGTGTTTTGTTTAATGTCTTCAAAAGTGGCTGATGTGGTGTTGCGACTCGGCGGGGGCCACAGGAATAAAGTTGAGGTAGAAGGAAATGACTTCCACAGGTGAATCTGAGTCTGGTGATTCTGAGTAGAGAATTGCCGTGTGCTTGCTTGTGTGTGGGTGTGCTTTCGGCGCAGTTTCCGCAGTTCCTCGTTTGTGGTGGGCGGAGAATATGGTGGAGGGGTTCACCTCATCCCTGCGAGCAACGCCCTCTTGGTCGATGATCATCGGATCCAGTGTTCGGGACAAAAGTAATAGAGGAAGAGCCGACAAGCTGCAATACAGATCCCGCTGCACAGTACCTGCTGGCCACTGCACCTCGGGATCTTCTTTCCCCGGCGGAGAGGCTGTTAGGACCGGCGCCAGGTCTGACAATGGATCGGCGTTCCTTTTGATGTTCCTTTTGAGTCGCCAAACGGGTTGGCGGCCTGTGTCCGCCATGTATTGTTCCCACCTGGCCGGAGGGTGCGGCGTCCTGCCGCCGCGGCGCCGTGAGCAGTTCGGGAGACCACCGGTGCAGCTTCTTCTTTGGAAGATGACGGCGGCGGCGGCGGCCGGGAATCGTCCCGCTAATTGAACGAATCGTTCGGCACCATTTGAAGCTTGTTTACGGCGGCCCTTTCGATGGATGCAGTCATCAACTTCAGACCCCTCGCCCAGCGACACACCTTGACGGGGGGGGAGCCGCGTTCGTGCCACATGGCCGTGCGGTGACCACGCTTCAGTTTTGAACGTTCGCGTGGACCGTGCGTGCTCGTCACCCTCGCGGGTAATGTGTGGTCCGTGATTGGACGGTGCCCTCTGTACGCGGTCCCCGATCTAGGGATCTGGGGAGGACAGACCCTTTATAATGAGCCCCCACGGCTCATTCGGTGTGCTTTTTCGAGTGGAGAGCTCGCCATGTACGAAGAACGCCACTATATATCTAAACTTTCTTATTGACCTCTCTCTAATGTAAATAAACGTCTGTTCTCTGTTTTCCCATATAAGCATTGCTTCTCGCTATAAGGGACGAGTCCGATGGGAGCCAGCTACCAACGACGAGACCCACAGGACTCAGGTCCCAACAGTACGCAGCAGGAACTCTCAAATAATGACACTCAATTTCCCGCTGCTTGCAAAAAGAAACGCGTACATCATTAAAATGTGTGGCAGAAACTTTGAAACTTTCCGAAGTTATTAAAAAATCCCCGTAAATGTAGATATCCGCAATAGATGTTCAATGGCTATATCTAAGCTGAGTGTGCACAGAAAATGACAGTTTGTTGCAGTCAGGCCGGAACTTTTCGTGACGATGAAGGGGCGGAATTTAAATAAAGACACGTTGCAGAAAAATCTGGCTAAGAAAAACGGCCTCCCGCCTGAAACAGACCAGTTGCCCGCTTATTTCTGTGTGATGCGTGGTATTTCTTCATTCTTAAACAGCAAATTGGCGCAAAGCACTCTTTCACATGTCACACTGTCCGTAAGAAGCGCCACAGTGTCTGCCCTCATTTTTAAGTTTTATAGTGAAAGACAACGCGAAAAATTGCGCTTTTCTTTCGCACAGGGAGAAAGAAACCGGTAAGCACCAAACATTGCACGCATAGGTAAGGCGATCCGCTCGTGAAAGCGAAATAAATGGATTGCTGTTTTCAACGACAATATATACCGCAACGCGCCTTCATTCAAAATTTATGACTTCTTTGTTTGAAAGATACGGTCTGATTTTATAATATCGGCCATCTTTGCCTCACGCCAAGCGTGCTCGATTTATCTATCACCATGAAAATTTCGTGACTATAAGTCAAAATACGTCAAAGTTTTATTTTTAGAGAGCGTCCTTGCAGCCGAAGAAGATTGACCATGCCTGTGACAGTTTGTTTGCTTGCACGTGAACTGATACTTGCTCAGTGGAACGTTCTCGACCGAATTTACCAACGCTCGTCTCCACTACTTCAACCCGAATCTACAGCTCCGTGTTCCGTCAGAAATATTTTTACAGCTGAGGAGGTACTCCCATGCAGCCTGTGGCTTGGAGTGGAGTATCATATTTATTCCCCTTACCCCCTTCCCCAGCACAGGGAGGCCAACCGGTCTGGCTGTCGTTCCGGCTATTTCTTCTTCTCTTCCCTTCGTGAAGGCGAATAGTCGCCTGCTCCACCTGGGCTCTTACGGCATGGAATCAGGCAAATTTAGACTTCCTTTAATGTTTAGAAAAAAATGCAATGGAGTAGATATCTATTTTCTCGTTGCACGAACCATTAGTTCTGTAGTAGAGAAAAAAAATGCATTAGTTACATCTCTGCTTACGGCATATGCGGGAACGAGTTTGATCTCATTTCTTTCTCCATCCCTTCGCGCTCTCCTTCCCCTTTCTGCAACACAACCTAGGTCAGTGACGGGCCTTACAGAACGATAAAGACATTGTTAAGCCAGATGGTCTCAGAAAAGCAAAAAAAAGTGCCGCAGATGCAATCTTCCATGCAAAATGATTTATTTGAGCAACAATGCAAAAACGCAGACGCTGACACATGCACTTAGAATGCACGCTAAACATTTCGACCACATGCTCCCGTCAACATGCCAACAACCTCTTCTGCACTTGTATGCAAAACGGCGCACGTATGTGGGCATAGCGCAAGGACATGCGAAAACACCGACGCATGCTCATATACTCGCGTAAATTGCTATGGAGGGAGGCTCTCTTCCAGACCAAACAAGTCTACTCCGGAGGAACCTACGCCTTCTTATCAGTGGCACACGCGCCACTTTATGTCTCACCTACCGCTTTCTTTTCAACGGCGCACACTCGCTTGTCTGCTTCCTGTCGCGTCCCGAGCCGCTGTTTTCGAGTCGCCGGCATACATTGCACTCATCACGACGTGAGGCCGTTGTACTCAAATTGAACAATCAAAGTAAGCGTTTCTTTTTTTTTTTTCGCCACTTTCAGTGGACCCAACATATAAAACTCAATATTCCAACTTTTCAGACTTACGCTTTAAAACACGCTGCGGGAAACCTATCCGAAGAATGATGTAACCTTGATGAGAGTGAAATTTCAAGGAACCGACTAACGGTATCATCCATTTTAAAACACCCGTATGGAGGTTTAGTCCAGACATTGTAGGGAACGAGAGATTGCTGGAAGAAATGCCGTAGCCGGCAGTTCGACAGCGCTGACCGAAACGTTTGCTACATTTACATTATTTTATAACAATGCTCAATGTACTGAGACATGTGCACTTCTTTAAACGGTTTTTTTACACCGTATTTTGTACGGTTGATGACAAAATTACTACAAAGGTAGCACAGGATACAGAAGGGGGAGGTGGAGCAGGAGGAGGAGGAAAACGAAAGTGCAGGATACAGCGTCAGCAGAAGGTTTCACCTGTGGTCAAGATCGCTGCAAGTATAAACGTGGCCTTCAACATGAATTTCAGTCAGACAAGGCAACCAGCAGAGGGCCAACTTGCATACCTTTTAAAAACAAAGCTGTAGCTCTTGGAGAGAAAGCACTGTAGAAAATGTTTAAAGCAAAATTTTAAGGCTTAAAAGTGCACCATAGGAGCGGGATTCGTTTCATTTTAATGAATTAAATTAGTTGACTGTCTGCAACAAAATATATAAACACGCACAGGCGCACTCCTTACGCACATGAATAATAATAATAATAATAATAATAATAATAATAATAATAATAATAATAATAATAATAATAATAATAATAATAATATATCTCTTATTTGTACATACGAAGGTAAAAAATTCAAAACGCGAAAAAAAAAAACGAAACATCAAAATGTCTCAACGTTGAAATGCCTGCAGCACCTAGCTATATATAGTGAAAGATAGAGTATATTTTAAAGGTTCCGCCGGGCGTGACTGATATGCACATGCTTTCGAACCTTTTTACCAACAGCCATGTTCCCTTAGAATGTGGTTCAAGCCTTCAAAAAAAATTTTATAATACTGCATATCTCATCGCATAGCAGAGTAATTTTCTTGTATATTGCATTTTATACAAAAAAGTTGTGTCCAATTTCTTCTAGCAAACTTAAAACGTCGACATCGTACCGATCGTTCAGAGAAGCTGTCAAATGATTTTCACGTAACCCCTTGGCTCTTGTTTTGTAAGCGGCGGCATTGGTCTCTGATCGCTTTCTCAACGTTGTCGTCGAGTTTAGCTTGCTCCCTTTTCAAGGAGAGGATGATCCGGAAGGGCCTGAATTGATCACTGTATTCGACATTACTAAGGCAGTATACCTTCTACAGGAAGGTTGGTAATCGCTCTGGCGCTGAATTCTCCTCACATCTCATACCTCTAATGGTGTCGGGAACCTTCTTTCTTGTCAAACACATAGACATAAGCGTATCTGCAGATAAGTTTAGTTTTTCCCTTCTGGGAGCACACCACACTGCGTCTTCATCCATTTTCTTCCAAGTCGGTAAAATTTCACGCGTTTTCCGGCATGTTTCACGTGATTTTCGTCATAATATCTTTTGAGCATTTTGATTTTTTGGCATTTTGTTTTTGAAGTGTTTCAATTTTTCGGCATTTCAATTTTTCGGCGTTTGGACGTTCAGCATTTTCAGAACTCATCCACTTAATTTTCACCGTATTGATGGGGACTCGCTACGCCGGTCGAAAAGCTTTAGCGAAACGCTACTGTGGTACTTTCGCGAAAATGAACAGTGATTCAGGGCCAGTGTTCCGTGCTACCACAGCC